TGGAGTAGTCTACAGCACTCTCGTGAGGGCATGCTCTGCTGAGGGCTGTCAAAAACTCTGATCTCCAATCCTAGAAGTAAAAGCAAGAACTGTAGTTTGGAGATTATAGGATGTGCACTAGTGACTAAGTTAGAGGATAAATCAATGCATCTTATTTTGCAGCATATTCATGAGCCTAATCCTTAATTTCCTTGGATCATTCCTGACAAGTACCTTTAGATGTTTCATGTTGCCTACAAGGGAACATCATGTACAAATGGAAAATAATGCATTTATTTTTTGATTTCAGTATGTAAAACAATTCAAAGTATTTTCAGTTCTACATTTTTTCCCCTCTTCTGTTGTTTCCATGTGGAATTGGGTGGAAAGAGGAAAGAATGGGTTCAGCAGTCAAATGTAGGATTTAACTGTGTACAGAGCCATACTCTCAACTCACATAAGCCCTTTTGAAATACCGTGCTTTGTCCTCACTAAAAGGAAAAGCTGTTCCTTCATGTGTTAGTTAACAAAGGTTAAGTAAAGCATATTACAATCTGAATTATATAGGGCTGCTTGCAGCCTGCTTGAGTGTTAGCAGGTCAAAGAGAACACTGTGTCCTTGAAAATGTTTTAGTTTGACCGGCTAGCAAATGTTAATACATCTGTCTTGTTCAGTGTGTTTTTGTGTGTGAAGGTGCATGTATTTAAGGACTAGAAAAGAAATGTTATGTGTCAAATGAAAGTCCCTCAGAATTCAGCAAGTGTCATTTAAATGGGAAGCAATAAATCACTGAGTACCAGAGTATACTACACGTTCCCATACATGACACAGTATTTTTCTGAAGGCTTTGTAGACAATACTTCTGCAAATACTTTTCATTTTTTTGAGCCTTTTCATACATAAATTCATTAAAAGTTAGACAACCCCTAAACTGGCTAGCTTTGTAACAGTGTTGATAGAAAGCAGTATTTTTTGATTCAGAGCAACTTAGCATTTAAAAGACAGCCCCATCAATTTTTAAATTGTTAGCAACTATTCAAACTGAGTATTATTGTCCTAAAAACTTTTCATAATTTTTTATCAAAGAGAGTAGCAAAATGTATTGCTCCTGATAGCTTCTTGTGAGCAAATATTTTTCTACAACAAATAGTGTATGTTACTATTGCACTAGCAACGTTCACTGACCAAGCTGAACTACATGGTCTGAAAAAACGAGAAGGAAGAAAATCCTTCATTATACACAGCTTTTAAGGACGAGACAGACACAACTGCTGGGTCCATTGCAGCCAGAGGAAGCACAAAGAAACTGCAAGACATTGCAGAGCTGCTTGTATAGCTGTGATCTCAGGCCACTGGCTACCTAAACACTGTCAGGGACTTGAAATATGAAAATGTGTGGGAAATTAAGATGTGGGCAACATTTTGCTAGTCCTCGTGAGCTAGCAGGAGTGGGCTGTTGAAGGAAAAGGTGAGGAGTTCATGGCTGATGAGATAAAAAGTGGGAGTGCTGAAGGTACACACAGAAAGGAGCAAGGTGTTAAAAGCAAATAGTCCAGGAAATGGTTGCAAGGCTGGGTGCATATGGAATATCTTAAGCAGTTATAATGAGAAGATATTAATGAGTGTCCTAGCAGTATCCTAATATTGCAACTTTGCTCTGTGATGTCTTTTCCAGACCAAATTCATCACCTCTCGATGCCCTTTTCTCCAGAGGGGTCTTTAAAATGCAAAGGGAAATAAAGGTCCTCTGGAGGAGAGAAATACATGGCTCTGGCCATTGCAGAAGTCAATCATTGCATATGACCAGAACACACAGCTCTGGTGTAGGAGGGAAAGGGAAAATGAAAGGATTGCAGCTATAAACTGAACAACTCTTTTTGAGGCACCCTGCAGTTTCGGTTTTGTTTTGTATTGTTTTATACTTTCCCCCTCCTATTTTACAAATTACAAAGCTTCTAATCCTTTTATTAGGAGGCAGAATATTTTACTGTGTTGTCTGAAAATTCTTACTTGCATAGATTTGTAAGTAGAAAAAGTCTGTTTGTTAAAGCATGTTATATTTACCATTTCACTAAAGAGATGAAAAGCCACAACTGTGCTGTGATGTTTTATTTAAATATAAAAAATACCAAGCTATCAGCACAAACCAATTAAATAATACTTCTTGTCTCCAGATTAGCCTACACACAGCTCTATATTTATACTTTTATTTGTTAAAAAAGTCAGCCTTTACTCAATATAATCAGACTCAATATTCAGAAAGATTATCCCTACGCTATTGCTGGAAGCACAACAAAAATTGTTAAAAAAACCCCAACAAATCAACAGTTCCACACATTAAACATTTTTGAAACCTGTAACACATCAGCACCCAGATGTCTGTAGATTTTTACGGTCCACAGAACAACAAATATGTAGGAGTGACCACTTAGTGAGACTGAAATGTGGGGTGTGTGGTGAACACTTCAGCTATTAAATCTTTTACTGATGCTGAACCCATCATACTCATAAGAATCCTTTTGAGCAGATGAATTGTCTAATAGATGATCAATGTCCAGGGCCTGTATAATTTTACAAAAAAGCTAAAAAGGAATAGCAAGCTGCTCAATAGGACTCAGTTCTGTAAAAGACATTTACAGTGGGCCCTATTTTCAGCAGGAATTAGACCAGATGCCCTGTTAAGGTTATTTTTGAAATTATTTGTTCTATAATTCTGTGTTGCCGTGCAATTTTTTTTTGAAAATAGCAGCACCATCCTGCCATTAGCACTCAAAATGAACCACCATAATGTCATTTTAGGAAGACATGGGAATCTTTGGTGTATTTTTCTGAGTTAACCTTCACAGGCAGGAAAAATATTCGAGGTATTCCAGAATAGTAATTTAATCTTGCAGCAGGTTAGAAACACATATAGCACGTCCTTTGTATATTAACATATGTGTACATTAGTATCATGGACTTAGAACTATAACATGACCTGGGACACTTTATATATTAACCCAATAGCCAGTTCACAAGTGTAAAAAAGCAGAAAACTGAGCTGTATAAAGGTTTGGCAAAGCTACACCCGGCAGTGCTCAAAATAACTTCCACTGGAAAGACTATTGTCCCTCAGTGAAACAAAAAGCCAATATTGGACTTGAAATATTCCTGATTGGGTGGGATTCTGAAAGAAAAAGCCAAGAAGCAGAGAGCACAGAGTGGTAATGAGGAAATGATGGTTGGTTTTCCATAAAAAGAGGTTTTTTTCTGGTTTTAAGTTGTACTATATTTTTAATATACAGGTATTTGTGGTTCTTCTTATTGAACTGTGCCTACATGACATCATGGAAGGCTTAATTCAGCATTTCCCACAGCCCAGATCTAACAGAGAGGAAGTATTTTTCTCCTTTTCTCAGAAATTTTCTCATCATGTTTTTGATACGGTGAAGGAGTTATAAAACTTTTATTGGCTTGTATCCCTGTAATTCACTCTTGGAGAATCATGTAATTTGAGAAACTCTCCTGACAAGAAAGTCTGTTTTTTTTTTTTTTTTTTTTAATTTTTTAATATATATATTTTTTAAAAAACATGTTATTTAAGGATAAAAAAGAGAAAAATGTGACAAAACCGGATTATTTTATTGCTAGTTAGATTGGATTCACCGTAGGCTTGCTTGCATTTAAAATCATCTTCTCTGAAGACAAAAATTTAGAGAAAATAAATAGAACACAGACTTTTTGATATCTTGTATCATCTCATAAAATTATACTTACATGAGCTAATAATTTTGTATTATATTTGTGTAGTGCAGTAAAATGAATTATCTAGTTAGTTAGTAAATCTAAACCTTTAATGGTGAAATAATTTGAAATCAATTCCAACTAACGTTAAGAACAATGAATCTTAAGAAATACCTTATACTGCAGTACAATTATATATATGGAAAAATGCATTAAAAATATGTCTTAGTTAATCAAGACTTTTTTTTGGTCTTGATTTTCTGTCTTTCTTTTATGCTGTAGAGTATTTTATAATGTGTTAAATATAAGGTAAATAAAACGTAATTTAGCATTCTTACAGTGTTGGTATGATTTGCTGTAACTGAACCATATTTGCTTGGATATTTTGTTGAAACAAAATGCTACCAAAATTAACACATTTCTGAGGAAGTGCAGTAGTATTTTCTGAGGACACCAGTATTCTCAGAAATCTTTTAAGAGGTTAACCCACAAATTGCTTATCTAGGAGCCCTTATTTATGAAACTTTTTTAATGTTTAAAGAGACTTAAGTATTTTGTGTTCATACATGTTAAAATCAGTAAGAATGAAATATTGGAAAGGAAGGATGGAGCTCAGGGGTTTTAATCAATATATCTTTGCCAAATGAGAATACTTTTGAATTTTTCTGGCACAGTATCATTATATTTCACTAACTGATTCTCTTTTGGGAGATCTACACCCTTATTCTTAGCAAAAGTAAATCCGTATTGTCCAACCAACTTCTGTGAAATTGTATCACTGCAAGCCAAGCATGAACCTGGTCCATTTCTTCCATTAAAATTAATGGAAGAAAGATGTGTCCAAACGACCTAGAATACTTTGAATCTGTATTTTCTTCAATTGTGTCAAAACAATGCTTTTAATAGTATATATCTTTGTATACATTGTATGTGTAAGTGCATATTAAATGTGCTGAATGGCCTAAATGTAAACTGTGATTGATTAGTCCCATATGAGTCCAATCTAATTCTAATCCATTGGTTAGGATGTAATAAAAGACTGTTTTCATCAAGGACTTGGCATCCCCTTGAAAATTGGATTTCAAAATGACAGCAAGAATGAACATAGTAGAAATTGGGAAGTTAATCAAGCTTAGCCAGAAGTCATAGCTCATATGAGTCTAGGACTCCACAGTCTTAAAAAACAAAATATAGAAAATTAACATCTGCTGTTAATTAATAATGTGAAACAAACAAGAAAAATCTTCTTGAAATCTTTTCTTCTACTATTTATTGTTTTACATTTCAGAAAAGGCAAATAAAAGGACCTAATTTTTCATCAGGTTTGTAAATCTGGAACCTACAAACTGTACTTGTTTTAAGTGATCCTTTACTCCATGGGTAGCCTGTGAGTAAGGCTGCCAGATTGCCTTGTATCTCTGGGCATTTCTGGGGAATCTTCTTTTTTCTTAATCCTCTTCGCAGGAATTACAAGGCAGCATGATACACTTCTACTCACATGAACTTTCTAAAAGGTAAAAAAAAATTCCCTCTTCTAGGCACTACTGATGTGCTAGAGAAAATTGAGTGTGCCTTATCCAGTAATTTGAAAAATATATGGACTGAGATTATTTTATCATGTGAAAATCCAACAGATGTTGAACGATATTAGATGATTTTTAGCAATTTTGCTGCAGATAATATTGACTTACATGACAAAAAAATAAGGGAATTGTGATATTACAAAAAGTTTTGTGGCTTTTATATTTTAGAAGTTTGTAAATGGGGTCTAGACTCTTGCATACATCTCTTCCTATCCTGAGATGCCATACTTCTGACAGAGTGTATTGTGGTTTATGTCCATACAGATATTCCCATTGCCTCTCAAGGAGGCATTTGAGCATTGCTTTGGATGGTTCCTAGACTAAATTCATTGCTTTTGTGTTTGTAATATCAATTGCTCTTCATTTGATGTGAAGCTGCTTTCTAGCAGGGCTGGCTGGCTGGCTGGCTAAGTCTGGAGAGCTGTCTGCTAACCTAAATATTGGTCTTTCTCTCAGACTTTATCACCCACAAATTTTGAGATGCCCACCGCTATAAAACTCTGGAAGCCAAGCAGAAGGTCAGAGTTTTTCCCATGTGGAGCAATTTCTGGACTGATGCTTCTCCTGGCGTCCACAGCCCTTTCTGTGCAGCAGTTAATGAACTGAGATCCAAGAGAAGCGTGAGTTTGTGTTCTAAATGGTGGCTCTGATTAGCATGCAAGAACATTTAAATGAAAAATACTGATGAAAGCATACATATTTTCCACTGAAAGCTTCTTTATTTTATATTCATGCTTCAGAGAACATAACTCTCACTATGGAATACTTGCATAATGTGAATGCTGGAACGTGTGCAAAATGTGAATGCTGGAACATTTCTATCACATCACGAGATGCTGCTGAGCTCTGTCCACCCTCTATGCTTGGGAGTGATCTCTTGGAGCACTCTGGATCTGTACACTGTGCATTTCATTTTCTGTGGTTTACTTTAGTTTTGTAGTATTTGTTAATCCTGTAGGCTTCAAGAAACCTTTGTTTTTCTGGGGTTTGGATCCAGCCAGAACTCATTGGTACACATAGGTTTTGTGGGACTTGCACTGATCTTAGTGAGAGAAGCACAAGCTGCAGAAGGGTCTGGTGACAGCATGAAGACATTAGTCTGTGAGCATATAAAAATTTATAATCTACCTGCACTTTAATCTCTTAATGAAAAAAATCCTACATGTATAGAAGTGGGGTGTTCACAATGGCTAATTTATCATTTTTTTTGGTCTGGAACTGTCCCTGTGCTTGGTAGCAAGAGAAGCTTGGGCAGAGGGTGTTTCAAAGCAGGAGATATTGCATAAAGAAGTTAAGCCCTGAGGCCAAGGATGGCCTTTATAAATACCCTTCACTAAAACATTCATATTTGTACTCTAACATGTGGTATACAAACCTGAATTCATCTGCCTTAGGAGCTGATAAGACGCCTTGTAAAAGCCAGAACTATGGACCCAATTAAAGTGTTTGTTTCTAAGAGATGGTATATTATAACCTCTTGGGAACATCCAAGGGTCTGCCACATATTGCATAATTAAGGAAACACAAAAATTATCAAATGAAAAGCCATGCTAAGAGAATGTCATAATTTTTGAATGCTGTTACTTTTTTTAAAATTAAAACTGTTGAACAAGTATGAGGACTTGTTATTTCTCAGAAATAATTTTTAATTCAAAAGAAGTCAGTTTTGGGGTCTAAATAACTGTCATCTTGGTAACTATGCATTTTCATTTCTGTTTTGATTGTAGTTTTAGCTGAGAAAATCTGGGAAGCTGAAACATTTTCTCTAGCACTGATACAGCTGAATCTGTCAGGAATGGCCAGGCACTTGTCACTTTTCCAATCTCCAGGCAATTTGGAGCTTTCTTATTTGCGATTTACATGTAACATGAGCAGTTTTATCCCTCTGTTTTAAGGAATTTCCAGGGACCCTGAATCCCTGCATTTCACTGAGGTTTGTGTGCAATGACTGCTGATATCTCTCTGTCACTCAGGTCACCACTTTCTTGGGAAAGATTTCTGAACTTCTGGTCCTTGTTCCCAACACTGTAGGTGACTTTGCTGTTTAATCTTTTCTCAGCCCACTGCAAGTTGTGGAGGGAGGGAGAACTTTTGGACAGCTGTGGGCTCGGGAATGAGGAGATCTTGTTCCTTCCTAGCTGCCACTCTTTGTAGAAGCAGCAGCAGCAAACTCCTGTTAGCAGTGGTACTCGCCAATGGGACAGTCCAAGGACATCTGTACCAAACCCAGGGGACACCACAGGAAATAGAAAATAACAGGTCAAGGTAAAAATGTTTTTCATAATAGATGATTTTAAAACTAAGTAATGATGATACTTATAGCTAATTTTTACAGATGAGGAAGGGCTTAACTCTTACAAAGTTTATTTAGTTAGTGATAAACATTTATTTTCTTGAGTATAGTTTTTAATTTTGAGCACAAATGAATATTGGCCTCACTTAAAACATGTGGGCTCTTTCCCATCCCCCTGTACTGTTAGGATGTTTCCTGGCTACATGTGCTTTTTCACATTTGCCTGCTAAATGAGATATTAGTGTATAAAATGTAGCATGCAGGAGCATTCTTTGGATTGGTAGCATTTTCTTAGGGCACTTGGATCTGCAGAGCACCAGTTTTCATTCTTGATTTTATTTCTGAATTTCAGTGCATACATGAAATTCCAGACAAATCAGTACTATTTTATTCATTCATTGGGGGACAGAATTTTTCACCAGTTATTTTTACGTAAAACAGAGGTTAACCAGATATTTTTAAAACATGACAGCCTTGCAAATGCTTTTCACATTTATTTAGCCATATACTAACAATTCTAAAGACAAAAATATATCTTTGAGAACAAACAGAATATAAAATCTAACATCTCTAAAACTTCACATTTCAAGGCTGAGAAATTTCAATGAGCTTTTTTCCGTTTCTTTTACATAATTTTAAATTCTGTATTTAGGCTTAAATTGAAATATAATCAGAAAATGAAAACTGAGCATCTATAACTGGATCTCACATACTTCCCAAAGAGGAATGTCAATGTGTATTTGGGCTATCTCAATATATAATGTTATTATGATATCAAAGTTTTGCCATATTTTAGAGGACAGTCAGATGGCATATTTTTAAACACCTGTGAAACCACCACCAGTACAAATACATCCACTTCAAAATATTTCCATACAACTGAATGAATCTGTAAGTACATATGAAAGGCATCATGAGATTTTTAAATACAGGAAATGTATTCTGCATTTTCAAAAAATAAGAGTCTACTAGGAGAAGTCCACATGTATATATTACCTTCTAAAAGAGGTAAATAAATACTTGAAGGTATATGAAATGTTTAATCAACAAGACACATCAACATAATAATAAAAATGCAAGGACAATTTGTGATATAAATCAACAGTGCTTATAGTGTTTTCATGCTGCCAGTATGTTTCAGCTTAATTTCTCTAAGCAAACACTGCAAATTTGCAATTTTAGAGGAGTATTTCTTAGTAATTTAGGTAATTACTTGTTGAACTAGAGTTGATCTGCTTTTTTTTTTCACTGATAAGTTAGGTTAAAGGAAAAATAAAAGGTATTTTCCAAATACATAAAAACATATTTTATATATTATTACTTTAAAATATATTTCAAATTTAAAGAAAAATTTAAAAACATGAAGCATTCCTCATTCACTCTTTGACTGACTGTAAGAGAACCAAGTGGTAGGAACTTAGCTACAAGAGAAAGGCTATATTAATATCTTATTTTCTGAAAAGAAATCAATGAAACTATGAAAATTTTCAATATTTTTGGGAAAATTATGTACATTTCTTCCAGAAAAAATGTGCAATGTAGCAGTGACAGCTAACATGACACAAGTGCTAAGTGAAATTCTGACAATGGGAAAGTCAATGGGATAATTGTCCAAATTTCCTTCATATGTTTAAGCTTCAGTTCTAATCTTATTTGAGTGAGGCTTGCCTCTCTAAAAGTCCTTTCATGTTGATGTTTTCTATGACTAGTGAGTCTGTTTTGAGTTTTCATAAAGCATTGTAAGGGCTACTTATGACAGTGTGGGAAAGATATGCTCGTTTTGATATGATTTCAAAATAAATGTTCTAATGAACAAAAAATATGACTGATGCCAGCTTCAAAATTGGCTTATTTAATTGTTCTTGCAGAAGAAGATAAAGTAGATCAAGCTGAAATGAAGTTATTCTATATTAAATATACTAATATGGGAATGAATTAGTATTGCATGGAGATTTAGGAGATTTTCCAGTGGTCACTTGAGAATCTGTAAGAGAGATGGGAAATTAACTCCTAAGCTGTTAAGTACTAAATTGGTCTTTGGACCACTTGGTCTTGACTTCAGGTTTCTCATGCAAAGATGAAATTAATTCAGTTTTATCATAATGTTAATGTGTCCAGATAGAATCTTCTACTAGTCTCCACCATGAATTAAGTAAAAAACATTAATAAACTGAAATGAATGGAAATTCTTCATAGGTTTCTATGCCAGTGAGTTTTGGGAATGCAAAATAATTTCAGTGGAGTTATACAAGAGAAGACTATGGACCATTAACTTTTGGAATTTCCTGACCTGTGTGGTTGATTGAGCAACCTCAATGCTACATTTGACTCTAGACTTTGCATTTGACTGTGTATATATTTTATATACTTTCACATGTTTTAATATAACCTGTGTGGGGTATTTTCATTTCTGAAATAGCTGGAAGGCATGACCTTTTTTCACCAGGGGAAAGTTCATAGAGAATGTATAGAGTGCATGTCTAGTTTGCCAAAGTATATTTGACTGAAATTTTCAGCACAGTGACTTAAAGGATTTTCTTCTGGCATTCACTTTGCATGTAAGACATGTCTGGTTTCCCATTATATGAAAATAAAAAAACATCTTTGTCAACCACAAGTTTTAAACTTTAGCTCTGGTACTGTTTCATGCTTGTGTGGGGCCTCCTAGGAAAGTGCAAAGTCAGGCTGAAGTCAGTGGGGTTTGTCCAACTCACCATTGAGCACAGCTGAAATATCCCACTCTGCCTCTTCAGTGTGTGAAATGTAATGGTCTCTACCTCCTAACCTTGCCAATCGAACTGTACAGATGCATGCCTGCTGTTCTGGTGCCTCGGGTTAATTTTAAGATTAAGAGCCATCATATTTGGGAATGTACAGACACATTTAGTTGTAGGCCTGGGGTCAAGCCTTCGAAATAATGTGTTGGAGGTAAAAACAAGTAAAATAGCCCTTAGAAGATCCAAAACTCACAAAGAAGACACTAAACCCAAATTCTAGAGGCTGCAAGACCAGTGCCTAAGCAGAAAATACAGCTCAGCTTTCAGCTCTCTTCTAGCAGTTCAACCCCCTTAACCACCACTGATTGTTTTTATGACAACCAAGAGTAAATGTCAGCTTTGGAGCTCTGGTCTTCAACTCTTCTTTCAACTATACTTTCCTTATGTTTATTCATTTGATGTAATGCTTTAACATGTGCTGTCTTTCAGTGACCACTTGGGAAAAAGTAATTGATTAATTTTTTTTAATCCAGTAAACTTCCCATCTTGGCTCTGTTGAGAACTGTTTTTGCATTTTGTTTACCTCTCAAATGTTAGATTTTTGAGTCTATCTACAGAGACTGCATAGAAAAGCATCTTATTTAATATAAAGCTCAAGCTGCTGGTTTACCAAGTCCAACCCCCATAACAGCTATAAGAGATGAATGTGAGCCCTATCACTCTCTGCTCTTTCTGCCTGTGTAAAGTGCATTATACTCAGTAAAATATGGCATATTGGTGAGCAATTTAGATAACAACAATGAGATCTGATTGCATCGAATTTGCATAATTTAAACAAAAATAAACGAAGAAAGCAAATCTTACAGCATGTCAGTCAGGGAATAAAAAAACCCTTTCTCATTGGCATGGAATGAAAGAGCCATAGAAGATGAATCAAGCCACTGGACATACACGGTTTTGCCAGCTTCATCCAAGAAATAAATCAGCAGTGTCTTGTTGGATCAGCATCCAGTCAGGGTGGAACAGAAAGGAAAAAGAGCTTTTGAGGAATGTTAAGGATGTGGACTACAAGAAATTCCTTAGCAGCTTTAAACAACTTAGCCTAAGGCTCAGTAACACTTTGGCCATAGCATCTAAAAGAACTCTGGGCTAATTATCGAATATTTACTTTATTTCTTCATGCTTCTATTCCACAGCCTTTTGTTGCCTATATTGTGCTCTGTGCTGCCATACCCCTGCTTCTGGAATGATATTAACTGTGAATCTTGAAGACAGCTACACGACTTGCAGTGTGGATGTCCCTCAGCATCGTGAAGGAGGGGCTTATGGCATTCACTTAGGACTGGGAAAAGCACCTGCTCATAATGTTGTGTAAGGAATGGCATACAGCTGGCCTGCTCCAGGAGGTGCCCCTCTTGCACTGAATTAGCAGTTGAGAGACAGAAGGGGTTTTATTTCTTTTTTTTTTTTTCCCCCAGACACAGCTTGATTCAGTGTTGCTAAAGAATAACATAATAGCTCACACTGTGCAATGCCAATAAATATATTTTCCTTGAGAAAGATGGTTTGAGAATTATTAAATCTCACCAAAAAGAATGATGAT